TCGGCGGCGACGGCGCGCCCGCGCTCGCGCCCGACGTAGCCGCGGCCTGCGCCGCGGCGCTCGAGCTCGAGGACGCGGGCGGCGAGCTCGAGGGCGGCTCGTAACGACGTCGGATCCGGAACCCCCGGCGGCCTCCGACTAAGAGACGCGGCTACTCGGCGCGCGCGCGCGCGGGCGCGCGCCGCGCCCGTGCCGGGAGAGGATTGGCCGGCGCTCGCGCCGGTCCGTCCGGTCAGTAGCGGTTCCGGGTTCGCGGGGGCGCGGCGGAGTGCTTGGACCGCGTGCCCGCGCTCGACGCGCGGACCGCGGACGCCGGGCGCATGGGCGTCTTGCTCCGCGGCGCGCCGCCCGCGGTGTTCCACGCGGTGTGGCGGCTCTGCTGCTGGTGGCCCCAGAGGGACGGCGCGTTGGCCTGCGCGGCGAAGCCGTAGTTCGAGTAGCCGTAGTTTGCACTGCCGCCGACGTGGTACTTCGTCGCCTGGGACTGGGCCGCGCGGTCCCGCGCGGAAGCCCGGCGGTGCCGCATGAGGCTCAGCGACCCGCCGACGAGGTGGCTCTGGGCCTGCTCGTGGTGGCGGTAGTGGAGCTGGCTCGCCTGCGACGCGTATCCGCGGCCGCCGCCGTCCTTGGCGCCGCCGTTGCCGTAGCCCTCGTCGAGGACGTAGCCGCCGCCGTGCTTCTCGCTTCCGCCGCCCCGGGGCCGCCGGGGCCCCTCGCCCCAGGCGCTCTGGGCGCCGCCGGCGACCGCGCGCGAACTCGACCCGGGCGGCTTGTCGTCCTCCGCCGCGCGCTTCCAGAAGGAGCTCGCCTTGTTGTTGGCCTGGCTCGAGCCCCCGGACGGCGCCGTCGACGGCCGGGCCCGCGTGCCCCCGGACGTCGTCGGCCGGGGCGCCGCGGACTGCTGGGCCTGGGGCTGGAAGAGGCCCCGGTTGCCGCCGCCGGAAGCGGACCGCGACGACGCGCCCGCGACGTCGCTGGGCAGCACGTTCGACGGCGCCTGGTAGATCTGGCGCTCCTGGTGGCCGCTGCCGCCGTCGGAGGACCGCGTGTTCGCCTTGAGCGTGTTCGTGCCCTGGCTCCCGGGCGCGGAGCTCGCCGTCGGGATGGGCACCGTCGCCTGTGATCCGGGGCTCTGGCCCGTCGCGCCGCCGTTGCGCGAGTTCGCGCCGTCGCCGCCGTTGGAGCCGCCGGCGGTCGCCGGCGCGCCGCTCGACGACGGCGGCGCCCGGTCGCCCGCGCCGCCCCAGCGGTCGCTCGCGCCGAGCGGCTGGTAGGCCGCGGCGGCCGACTTGGGCGTCGGCGCGCCGCCGTAGGCGTCGGCCGTGCCCGGTCGCCCCGTGGCGTTGGCCGTGTCGCTCGTCGCCGGGCGCGGGATGGTCACGGTGACCTTGTCGACGGGCTTGTCCTTGGCGTCCAGATCGCGGCCCGACTCGCCACCGAGCGCGCCCGGGTACTGGCTCCCCGCGGTCGGCGGCCGGCCGATGGACGCGCCGGCGGAGCCCTTGGTCGCCTCGGCCGTGCCCGGCCGCTTGGCGTCGTCGCGGCTTTTCGTGTTGTCGCCGAGCTTGAGCGGCGCGGCGTTGCCCGCGCCGGCGCCGATCGCGGGTTTCACGTCGCGGCCGGGCCGCGGCGCGTCCCAGTCCCACTGCTTCGGGTTCTCGAAGCCGTGGCGCCGGTAGAGGTCGCGGAAGAGGTTGCGCACGTAGGTCATGTTCGGCTTGGCGTCGAACTGGAGCTCGCGGCAGTACTGGATGAACTCCTGGAACTCGACGGGGCAGCCCCGGCAGAGCTCGGGCAGCGGCGTGAGCTGCTTCTTGTCGAGAATTAAACGGTGCTTCTGGGACGCCGTGCCGGACACGTTCGGGGGCACCTTGAGCCCCTGCCAGGGCAGCTTGCCCAGCAAAAAGTAGACGAGGATGTAGCCGATGCTTTCCAGGTCGTCGCGCCGCGACGTCTCGACGCCCTGGTGGTTCGCGACGGACGCGTAGCGCGGCGTGCCCGTGAGGCTCCGGCCCTCGCGGTAGGGGATGTGCTGCATCGTGTGCGGGTGGCGGTAGCGCTTCGACAGCCCGAAGTCGATGCAGAAGACGGACGCCTGCTCGCCCACGGACGTCACAAAGTTCGCGGGCTTGATGTCGCGATGGATCAGATGGTTCTCGTGGAGCGTCTCCGCGCGCTCCAGGAGCTGGTCCGCGAGCTGGAGCGTCGTCTTCAGCGAGAACTTGCGCCCGCACTGGTTGAAGAGGTCCTCGAGCGACGGGCCGAAAAGCTCCATGACCATGACGTTGCAGTCCCGGTACGTGCCAAAGTACATGACGCGCCCGATGCCCGTGCAGCCCTGGAGCTCCCGGTAGACCTTGAACTCGTGCCGCAGCTGGGGGCACCGCGCGCTCCGCTTCTCGAACTTGATCGCGACCTGGCGTCGGCGCGCGTCGCCGGCCCGGCCGCGCGCACGCGCGCGCGAAGGCGCCCGG